CCCCCCCATCCCCGGCCACCGCGCTTTCCCCTTGCCTCACCTACACCCTTCCCTCTAACCCTCTCCCCTTCCATCAACCCGCCCCCCCCCCCCATGCACCCGAGGTTACCTGGGACTCTTGACTATTTCCTACCTCCTGGCGGATAGCTAAATAATCTTCATCAGGTTCATCTTCTTATTTAGCTTCTCTAGGATCACGAATAATAGGCTCAGAGACCTTTAATTATGGTTAGAATCCACTTATGAGTGAATACATACCGTGTTCCTCTTTTTGGGTCTGGCTTACCTCACTCAGTAAAGCGTTTTCTATTTCCATCCATTTGCATGCAAAATTCAAGATGTCATTGTTTTTTACCGCTGAGTAAAACTCTAATGTGTATATGTTCCACACCTTTTTTAACCATTCTTCTATTGAGGGGCACCTAGGCTGTTTCCAGGTTCTGGCTATTACAAATAGTGCTGCTATGAACATAGTAGAACAAATGCTTTTGTAGTATGTTAGGGAATCTCTAGGGTATATTCCCAAGAGTGGAATTGCTGGGTCCTGAGGGAGGTTGACTCCCAGTTTCCTGAGAAACCGCCACACTGATTTCCACAGTGGCTGCACGAGTTTGCATTCCCACCAACAATGGATAAGTGTTCCCCTCACCCCACATCCTCTCCAGCATAGGCTATCGTTGGTGTTTTTGACTTTAGCTATTCTGACAGGTGTAAGATGGTATCTCAAAGTGGTTTTGATTTGCATTTCCCTGATCGCTAAGGAGGTTGAGCATGACCTTAAGTGTCTTCTGGCCATTCGAAGTTCATCTGTTGTGAATTCTCTGTTAAGTTCAGTACCCCATTTTTTAATTGGGTTAATTAGAGTTTTAGTGTCTAGTTTCTTGAGTTCTTTGTATATTTTGGAGATCAGACCTTTGTCTGATGAGGGGTTGGTGAAGATCTTCTCCCAGTCAGAAGGCAGCCTTTTTGTCCTACTGACAGTGTCCTTTGCTTTACAGAAGCTTCTCAGTTTCAGTAGATCCCATTTTTTCATTGTTTCTCTTATTGTCTGTGCTACTGGGGTCCTACTTAGGAAGAGGCCTCCTGTGCCTATATCTTGTAGACTACTTCCCACTTTCTCTTCTATCAGGTTCAAAGTGGACGGATTAATGTTGATGCCTTTAATCCATTTGGACTTGATTTTTGTGCATGGTGATAGATATGAATCTACTTCATTTTTTTACAGGTTGACATCCAGTTATGCCAGCACCATTTGTTAAAGATACTTTCCTTCTTCCATTGTATACCTTTAGCTCCCTTGTCAAAAATTAGGTGTTCATACGTTTGTGGGTTAATATCTGGGTCTTCTATTCGATTCCATAGGTCGACTTCTCTGTTCTTATGCCAATACCAAGCTGTTTTCAATACTGTAGCTCTATAATAGAGTTTGAAGTCAGGGATGGTAATGCCTCCAGAAGTTCTTTTATTGTATAAGATTGTTTTGGCTATCCTGGGTTTTTTGTTTTGCCATATAAACTTGATTATTGTTGGATCCTGTTTTCGTATTCAATCTCTAAGTCTGTGCCTCTTTATAGGTGAATTGAGTCCATTGATATTAAGTGATATTAATGACCAGTGTTTGTTGACTCCGGTCATTTTTTCATTTTTTTTTTTTTTTAGGTAGTAGAGTGTATGTGTTTTTCTTCTTTGATTTGTGCTTGTGAATGGTCGCTAGATGTTCGAGTTATTGTAGGCCATGTTGGGAGTGTTGGATTCCTTCGGTAGTGATTTTCCTTCTAATATTCTCTGTAAGGCTGGATTAGTAGCTACGTATTGTTTAAATTTGTTTTTATCCTGGAATATTTTGTGTTCTCCGTTGATAGTGAACAATAGCTTGGCTGGGTATAGTAGTCTGGGTTTGCATCCATGGTCTCTTAGTTTCTGCAGTACCTCTATCCAGGATCTTCTGGCTTTCATGGTTTCCATAGAGAAATCCGGTGTAAGCCTGATAGGTTTACCTTTATAAGTTACTTGACCATTTTCCTTTGCAGCTCTTAAAATTTTTTCTTTAATATGTATGTTTTGTGTTTTGATTATTATATGGCGAGGGGATGTTTTTTTCTGATCCAGTCTATTCGGTGTTCTTTATGCTTCTTGAACCTTCATAGGAATATCGTTCTTTAGGTTGGGAAAGTTTTCTTCTATAATTTTGTTGAATATATTTTCTGGGCCTTTGATCTGCAGTTCTTCTCCTTCTTCAATCCCTATTATTCTTAGATTTGGTTTTTTTATTGTGTCCCAGATTTCCTGAATGTTTTGTGAAGAGAATTTGTTGGATTTGCCATTTTCTTTGACCATAGCATTTATTTTCTCTATGGTATCTTCAGATTCTGAGATTCGTTCTTCTATCTCTTGTATTCTATTGGTTATGCTTGATTCTGTAGTCTCCGTTTGTTTACCTAGGTTTTCCATATCCAGCCGGTTCTCGGTTTGTGTTTTCTTCATTGCCTCCATTTCAGTTTTCAATTCTTGGACTGTTTCCTTTACTTGTTTGATTGTTTTTTCTTGGTTTCTCAGGGTCTCATACACGGATTTACTTATTTCTTCAAACTTTTTGTTATATTTCTCATCTATTTCTATATTCATTTCTTCAAACTTTTTGTTATATTTCTCATC